GGGTGCTCTATTCTATTCCATTGATCAGAGTCTCTGTTTTTATACCAGTACCATGCTGTTTTGGTTATTATAGCTTTGTAGTATAGTTTAAAGTCAGGTAGAGTAATGGAAAAATGGAATTAGAAGATAATGTGAATTTCTCCATGAACTTTTTGAAGACCCCTTTTATGCACACTCAGTATACATCGTGGTAGGAACTAAATAAAAAGTGTGCTATTAATGCACAAAATGAATGGCTTGCTACTGTTTGGAATTGTGGTATTTGGTCTTGAGGTCTCTCTCTCTGGAGAGTGGCTATGAATTCCAGTCCTGCCATGATGGGGTTTTAGGGGAGTTTATTGTGGGTATTTGTGCTTTTCACAGGATACTTCTTTATCCTGGCAGATGGCCAATGCCTAAGCATTTGACTCATGACCAGATGTTCCTGTCACAGGAAACTTGCTTATATTGGCAGATGCCCTTTTGACTCCTGTCTAAACTGTGTCCAGTTAATTCCTACCAACATAGCCATTTTCTCTCTAGGAAATACCTAAATGGGAGAAAAGTTAGGTTTGAGTGTGTGGGTCAGGTGACACAGGAGGCAGCACAACAAAACACATGAAATAACAGAAATAATGTTATTACTTACAGACCTCAGAGAGAAGAAGGAAGCATGATTTGTAGGTCAGTGGGAAGTGGGGAGCCATGAGAACACATGAATTCAAGTGGATGGGGAGTGAGAATGAGAGAGGGACCTGAAGGCCAAAGCCATTATTGGGTTCCAGGGCATTATCCAAGCAGGTTTCCTGTGGGTAGAACTAATTGTTGGGTTTAGAACAAAGAGTCAGAAGTTCCAGAAAGTCATGCTGTGACTGAGAGGAAGTCGCTGTGCATATCTGCATAGCCCATGTGGGGTGTGGGGGTGAGTGGGGCCAGTCTTGTAGGTCATATCTAGCTTTCCCATAGGCAGGTGGTCATCAGGAGATGTACTTAATAAGGCAAATATATTGATTGACCACCATGAGGAACTGAAGGAGGCAGAGAATGGAAACTGTCAAGGATGACTAAGTCATGTTTCTGATGTGAGAATTTCAACTTATACTCAGTGGTTGTTAAGATAATGTAAAATTATAATGATTACTACAGCAATCCTGTATGTGGACATCTCCCTGTTTTATACTGTAAAAAGAATTAAGGATGTTTTAAAACCTAAAATTATACTGGCTAGGTAACTTCTGGGGGGACTAAAAATGTGTTTTTAATGCTAACATTAGGGGTCAACCTTTGTATTTCTTTTTAATTCTAACTGCTTTTCTTGTAACATTGGACATAAAATTGATGCCAATTTTATGAGAGAAACAGAGAGAAAGTAGGGAGAGGATAGAGGAGCATAATGCTCAGATTTTCTTATCCTTGAGTATTTCTTTCAGATTTTCTCCAGAGGGTTCTTCTGGCAGATTTTTGATTTCAGGCAGGGCTTGATTAAAAATAAATCAAAATATTTCTCCAAGTTGCTTGGCTTCTGTGTTACCTGTTTGACCCATTGTTTCTTTTAATTTTGTAATATATGATAGAATTTTCAGAACTTAAAACATCTTGTGTACTTTATTTCTTATTAATGTGTGCAATACGTATAAAAACTTTTACTAAAAGTTCTTTCTTTTCTTTTTTCTTTTTTTCTTTAAACAAACAAACAAAAAAACAACCCTACAGAATGCTGCCTTTTTATATGGTCTTGGTTTGGTTTACTTCTACTACAATGCATTTCATTGGTAAGTTGGTTTATACCAGGTGTTTCCAGTAGTATAATTTTTACCTTTCTGTGCTTCTAATCATGTTTAACTCCTTTCCCACTGTGCAACACACCTGTTAATACAGTTATACTGGCCAGTAACTAGTAACTTGATTTTAGGCTCTTAACTTTTCACTAATGGCCTGTAACTAGTAATCTAATTATAAACTCTCAACTTTTTACAAATTGTCTGAAATTATTAACCTGATTATAAACTTTCAGTTTTCTACTAATAGGAATAATAATAATACATTCTTCAGCTTTGAGGATTAATTGTGATAGTAATATAAGAGAAGTAGTAAACTCTAAATTATAGGAAACTTTTTTGGCCCTGCTTTTGTTTTTTTCCCCCTTCAAGTTGTCTGAGAGTCCAAAGGAAGATGAATTAGTAAGTACATGGTCAAGATTTGCAACCATGTTTTGTGGGTTACCCTGAGTATTTATTTCCGAGTTCTAAAATATTTATTGACAGCTATTTGATAGGGTTTCTCAAAGGTGAATATTTAACTTTAACTTGGATACCTTTTCCTACTATTTATTTTTTCTCCTCTGCCTTTGGGCCATTTAATTACAAGTCTGGAAGTGCTGAATTGTTTGTTAGATAACCTGTTGATAATAGATTCTCATAACAATTCTCCGCCTTAAGAATTACTCATTGCCTTAAGATATCTTAAACTTAAGTCACCTACCTTCTTGTGTAATGAATCATATTTAAAACCAAGAATAAGTTGGCAGTAGTTTGAGGTCTCTGTAAGCTTCTTAGAGATTCTATTTGGAGAATTCACAATTCTGAACCTTTAGAACTAGAAAAGGTTTTAGAGAGATCACTTAGTTTAATCCCTTAATTTTGTTAGTGTAGAAAATAGGATGTAATTTTCAGTCTGTGTTATTTAACCGTGTACATAGTGGTGCAAATGGCCCATTGTTCAGGTCCCCTGTCTAATAATTTAAAGCATGATTCCTACTGAAAGAAAAAAATATCATGTTTTGTACATGACCATCAGTGGCATTGGAATCATAAGACCTTTCTGATCATTTATAGTTGGGAAGAGCACAGAAGGTTGCAGACATCAGTGGTAGGACTAATAAAGATTTTAGGGAGATAAAATGTAGAAGTAAGACTATAAGTACTAAATGGAATAATTGGTTGTACTTTGCCCTGTGTAATGATGGAAAGATGGTTGTTTTTAATCAGTATTTGTGATTATTCCACTGGGCATATAGATAATATCATTTTAGCTAGCCAGAACTAATTTAGGTGAAATCCAATATAAGACCAGAGAGAAAGAAGACTAAAGTTATGAATAGTCAGTTGTACCTCGTGTTGGTCAATTTTCACATAGTTATGATAACTCATGATCTCTTAGGATTGAAGATAAGAATATAAGATCAATAGAGACATAAAGCTAGCATAGATTCAAAATATTAATTTCTTTACCATGTAACTGTGCTTAGATGGCAAAAGTTGTAAAAGATGAGTGTATCTTTCCATATGTTATCTTTAAATTATGCTTATATGTTTCCCGGAAACCTTATATTTTAAATGCTTAATTTTGCAGTAAAATATGTAATCACATACTTTTAGAAGTAAGAAATGAACTATCAAAATAATTTACTAAAGATGTGCAGTATTGCTTTGTCTCATTCAGTGGTGTGTCTGGTATCTACATCTTTTTGTACTGTGTAGTAAGTTGACATTTGTTTTGGAAACATTTAAGATTCTAAACTTTCACCTTTAAGGAGTTTGGAGAATAATTTAGAATCAGAATAGACTTTTTCTCTTTTTGTCTCTCTGGTAATGTTTGTTTTTGAGAAAGTAATAATTTACATTTCTAATAATAAAAAATATTCAAAATACATTTAGTAAAAGGTGATTCTCCTTTCGATTTTCTCCATTGGTAATTAACATCTTTAAAAAGATAAAATTTAAGGCAGTATAGTATTAGGACAAAGGTAGAATGGTAGATCATTGAAGATTGAATCACATTGGAGAACCCTTAAGCAGTCTCATGGAAACATGATTGATGACACAGGTGTCACTATATTGCTGTAAGAGTAAGAATGGAAATATAGGAAACCGATTTGGAGGGGGAAAAAAAATGACTCCTTTCTGTATCACACCTATTTCTAATAATCTCCAGGTGGATTATAAACAAAAATGTGAAAGGCAGAATAAAGCTTATAAAAGTAGATTTGTGTGGAGCAGAATAGAACCAGGGTTAACACCCTTACCTTCTCACCTTTTCAAAAACTTTTCTACTGCTTCTCTTTCTGAAATGTTTAAGGAGAAATTTGAATGAGTTATTTACTTTACAATTTTTATTGAACATTTAAAATTGTAGAATTATTGACAAAATTGAGAAAAATTTATTCTGAACTTCCCTTCCCCTTTCTAATCTGTTTTATAATTCATTTATGTCATTTTAATAAAATTGGTATTTCGACTAAAATTGGGTATTTATACTACAAAGCAAAATACATATATGTATTTAAAAATTACAACTTCTTATGTCTGTTTTTTTTTTCAGGGCAATTAAAGCATTTCAAGATGTGCTTTATGTTGACCCTAGCTTTTGTCGAGCCAAGGAAATTCATTTACGACTTGGACTTATGTTTAAAGTGAACACAGATTATGAATCTAGTTTAAAGGTATGTGGCGAGGGTTTTTCTGAGATACAGTATTGTGTATGCATGTGTGTGTGTGCACACACTGTTACATGTTATTCAGAAGTGTTGAGATTTATATTAGCGCTATAAAAATTTTGGAAAATTTGGGATATGAACTAAAAGGTAAGAAAGGTAGGGGTTGGGTTCCAGTGTGCAAAATAGATACTAAGATTTACAAGGTAACTTTTCAGTGAAGTAAGATTTTTTTATTTTTAATTTTGAAAACATTTGAGATAAGAAGGGAAGTGAACGTTTTTGTAAGTGTTACTTTCCTGGAAGTGACTGCCACCATAGAGAAGAGAACAGTTAGTGATGCTATACTATTGACCTAATCATTCACTATTGTTTTGTATGGGTTTCAGAAATCTGTCCACTTCTAATAGAATATGTGTCATAGCAAAATTGTATAATAGAATATTCTTTGTAAGGCTTTTGGACTGCCGGTTGGTGAGTATAAAAAAACATTAGGGAAAATAGTACATTATTGTTTAAATACCTTAATTCTAATGGAAATTAGATTTTTCAAAAATATTTGTGGGGGCCGGCCCGGTGGCACACTCAGTAGAGTGTGGCGCTTGGGAGTGTGGCAGCGCTCCCGCCAAGGGTTCAGATCCCATATAGAGACTGGTCTGCTCACTGGTTGAGCGTGGTGCAGGCGCGACACCGAGGGTTGCGATCCCGTTGCCGGTCGCGGTGCGGGCGCGACACTGAGGGTTGTGATCCTGTTACCGGTCACGAAAAAAGACAAAAAGGGAAAAAAAGAAAAAAAAATTTGTGATTTCTTGGTTTGTGCCATCATTTTATGTTTTCCAAAGCTTTGAATGGAAATAAAGCTTCCCAGTAAGATAACAGCATTGCTTTTTGAAGGAATTAAAGCTTCTGGAGAAAAGCATAAAGTTTTATGAATTTACGACTATAAAGAATGTTTACTATTTTCAAATCTTTTGTAGATTTTCTTCATATTAAAGGTGGAGGATACATGTGTGATTTAACAGTGGGATTTACTTTGTTCTCACTAACATGAAATTGCTAAATAAATGCTTTTTAAGAACTGTCATTGGGGATTCCCCAGACCACCCTTAAGCTTAATGATTTGTTAGAAGGACTCAAAGATCTCAGATAACAGTTATACTTGTGGTTACAGTTTATTACACTGAGAGAATACAGATTAAAATTATCAAAGGATAAAGGCACATGGGGGAGAGTCCAGGAGAGAGCAGGTGCAAGATTCACCGTGTTGTGTCCAGTTGCACATGTGTGAGCAGCACTTGATGCTCCCTGCAACAATGTGTGACAGCAGGAATGAAATATTGCCCACCAGTGGAGCTCATTGTGCTTACTTTCCAAGATTTTTATTGTGGTTTGTTCATAGAGTCACCAAGCACTCACTGCCTAGCTCTCCTTAGTTACTTAATCTCCAGCCCTTACAGAGTGAAGTCTGATATTATGTGGCCTCAGGCCCCCACCATAAATCATGTTGTTGTAACTGACCCAGGGCCCCACTTAAACAGGCACTCTTTTGCAGGATATTACAGCTATCTCCCAAGAACCAGTCAAATGTCTGACCTTTCATGTGCAGGATCTGACCAAGGTTCCTGAGTTTTAATCCATTACTGCATGCTTTATTTATACAGTCCCTAATTGTTATAGATATTAAAGTATAAAGTCACACAAACTACCTCTGCCTTTTATGAGTTTTTAAAGAGATTGATAGTGGTGGCACATAGATAGTCAATCAAAAACACTAAATCATTGCAAATAGATTTTGAAGAATTTAGATCACTCAGATATCAGTGAAAAGTGCAGCTGAGGAGATTAAGTGCAATTGGTGTGGAGAGTGGGACAGAATTTCCACTTTCCTCACATGAACAGTAGTATTTATCAATTTGTATTCTATGGAATATCAGTGGATTTGTTATGGAAGATAAGTACAGTTATGCCACCTTGTAGTTTTTCCTCTTGGACTTTCAGTGTATGTAATAGCCTATCAAAGGCTCTGTCTAACATGTCTTACAGTGAAAAACAAATACATGATAATATTCTAATAATATATTTGTTAGACCACAGCAGTATTTTATGATTGTGTTCTCTGGAAATACGTACAAGGGAAAAAAATAAGAGCAGACATTTTTTCCCCCTATAAATACAGAATGTATGTATAAAAACCTCTAGAGAAAGATTTATCTGAATATTAATTCAGTGTATTTTAAAGAATTCTATGGATGCAAAGCTCCCATTTTAATGAGGTGGCAAATTTAAGATCTTTTTTAATATGCGGAGGAGTGTTCGATAATGTTCATAGGTGCCTTGAAAGTGTTTCTGTTTACTTATGTGTAACAGAAACATTCCTGCATGCACTTTAGTTTGCTTAGGTATAGATAAAGGGTAACAGTACTTCAGGTGATATTGATTTTAGGAAAAATGTCTTAGGTACATGCGTGAAGCTTTCTTCTGTGCCATTTCTTAATTAAAACGCTTGACAGCTTTCTGATGTTTATTTTATTTGTATAGGAAGTTTTGGGGAGTTTTTGTCATTAGTCTTTTGTGTAGTATGAATATGTCGTTTGATTTTTATTTCATCCTGATATTTGCTAATAGAAATATTCCTTGTCTATTGTTGCAACTGTTTTAGACATCAATCGCTTTAATTAAGGAGGAGATATTTCTATGTGTTGCTTAAGTATTTATCATTCAAAATGAATAAAGGTGGGAATCAGAATGAGTGTCTCCCTTTGGGAGGTCTCCAGTTTCCTAAATCGGTCTGGTGTAATTTAACTCCACCATCCAGATGTGGAACTTCTGATGACCTTTCTGCTACACCAGTATGTTTCCTAGATGTGTATTGGTATGGACACGTTGGGCTTCAGTCTTAACAAATTCGGAATCAAGTTGGTTCACATATGATAGAAATTGTGGTTACTTATATACAAAGTCCAGTCTTCAAGATTATTAATTCAGTTGTTCAGATACCTCATCAAGGATCCATATATTCTTTTGTACTCTGTTGGCTGTTTCCATCTTTGATATAAGACAATTACCAGGTGTAATCAAAGTGACTTGTTTTTTTTTTTCATGTCTCTTGTAGATACATTATAGAGTAATAGCGTAGATGCTTAGTATAATATGGGCATAAAGTAAGTGCTCAAAAGATGTATGATTATCATTCTCATGTTGATTTGAGGATGGAAAAGAGCACAACTTCCTGTTGCTGTTTTCAAGAATGACGAATAACTTTGTAAAAAGCCTCCAAGAAACTGTCTTGCCTCTTATTTGCCAGAAATAGGCTATGTGCTCATTCTTCAGAAATTTCCTCTCAGAGAGGATGGTATTACTCAATGTTATTTCCCTAAGAGAGGCATAGAACAGATATTTTGGAGTGGACAATAGTGTCAACTCTTAAGTCCATTACAAGTCAGATCTTCTCTGTCTCATTTTCTTCCTTGAGTTCCAAGAAAGATAAAGCATATGTATAGTATTTTTTTTCCTCCACAGCCTTGCCAACACTTGGTCAGTCTTTTCTTTTTTTAAAAATATTTTTTATTAGCATATTTATTATTACAAATCATACTTATTCTTTATGCCTGTTGTTCATTTTCCCCTTCCCCTCCCCCCTCTAATAACTATAGATTTGTTCTCTCCATCTGAGGGATTAACTGTTCTTCTGTTGGTTTGTTGATCTACGTGATCGGCACTACTGAGACAGTCCTCTCCTATTACCATCAATCAGATGCTTCTTCGATTGCTCTGGAATGTGCTTTGTGGACATAGAAGATCTCTTCTTTTTTTATGGTCTCTGCTGGTGTCTCTCCTTGTGTCAATGCAGTTGAAAGTCTGGTGTGCCATCTGCACAGTGGCTGTGACTGCTGCTATAGAGACTAGTTGCCTTTGTGGCAGCCAAGGCAATTGTGGTGGCTATGGTGGGCTACCCGTGTGGAAATGGTGTTTTTGGTGTGTTCTTTACCTGGGTGTGGCTGGGTTCGGCCTTCCCCAGCTCCATGCAGCTCTATGGCAATGTTAAGAGGATGGGAAATCCCATAGATCTGGGTGTACCAGATCTGTTTCAGTTTGTTTTTGAAACACCATTCCTGGCAGGGCCTTGGAATGGTGTTGGCCACTTGTCAAATTATGGCTAGTTTGGTCTCCCCCACTCCATGCCTCGGGACCCCAATGGGGCCCCAGGGCAGTGGTGGCAGCTTGCCTAGTTACAGCTGGGTTTGGCTTCCCTCAGCTCCATGCCCTATTCTAATATGTTGTTAAAGAGCAGTTGGGGGGAGGGGGAAAGAGTAAGGGGGCAAGAAATGGGGTGGGAAAAGGAGGAAGGAGGTGTGATCAAGGTCCATGCCACCCCATCATTTCTGCAGGGGAGACCAGGAGACTCCAAACAGTGGCTCGGTCATTCCTGGGCTGAGTACAAATGTCAGGGGGGTGTGGTTGAAGCCCTCAGCCCCCCACTGCCCTGGCTTAGGAGCCTTGGGTGCTTCCTGCTGTGGCTTGGTGGTCATTGCTGGGCTGGTTATGGATGTCAGGGGGGGTGTGGCAGAGACTGTTGGCCTCTCATTTCCCAGCTGAGGAGCCTAGGGCACTTACTGTGGTGGCTCGGTGGTGGTCACTGGGCTTGTTGCATATGTTTGGGGGGGCCTGGCTCAGGCCCTCTGCCCTATCCTGTCCCTGACTTTGGAGCCCAAGGGGCTTCTGGTCCTTCTTGGTTTTATAGTTGTTCTTTGGTGGTATTAGACCTTTACTAGTTAATATCAAACTTTGTTTCTGATCTCTAGGATAAAATTTTGTATAAAATTGGCTGTGGTGTAAGTCAGGAATCATTTAAGGAGCATGGCAGTTCAGAATGAATTTCTTTTAACTCTCCTGTGATAACTACAACCTAATCATTTAGATCCTGTTTTAATAACACTTCCTCAAGGAGGCACCTTTACCTAGGTTAGATCTCTATGACACAGCCGACTTTGCACCCTTTTCTTTCATTTGAAATACTTGCCACAGTTGAAATGAATCTATTGCATGAGCACAATTTGTTTTTCTGCTTGTCTCTAGCTAGAGCTTATTGGTGAAAGGATCATGTTTATTGTTATATCTGTAGTCCATGGCCTTAGGCACTCAGTTATCTGTAAAATGACAATATTTTAGGGCTTTGTTTGTATGGCATTACCAAGTTCAAGGTATACTTGATGAACAACTTTTTCCTTTTATCATAAATAAGAATTTAAAAATGTGTTTTATTGAAGGACGTAAATAAGCGTAAATAAGCATATTCTCAATCATATTGAATTCCACTTCATAACTTTACTTTTGGTGCCCATATATGCATTTAGATGCCCTAAGAACTTCACCTGTGACCACCATTAAACTTTAAATTTATTAATCCATTCAAGGGCATGTCCCTCACAAGCTAATCACCTCTTCAAGGCCCCACTGTTCAATTACCATAGTAGGATTTCCCATCCTCTTAACATTGCCATAGTGGGGATTCAGTTTCTAATATGTGGGCTTTGGGGGACACAATTCAGTCCACAGCAGCAAAGGTCTGTTTTCTCACATCTGTTTAATAATTATGGTTTCAAGGTAGATTAGACTTTAAATTGTAGTACAGTCTGAATTGTGGCTGTTGTGTTGCCCTTTTTTGTGTAGAAAAAAATAATTAAGTAGGGTTTACTTTTAACATTTCATAGATTTAAAGATAGGCCTTTTTGTGTTGCTCTGGTATCATATTAAGCATTCACATTTGCCACTGCACACCAAGGGAAAATTAAAACAGGGTCCTCAGTGTTCAAATGGTGGTTTTTCCTTAGTAAATGAGGTACCTGCCCCCCCTTTTGCTTTAAATTTTTATTTTGAGAATATGGTAAATCTACATGCTGTTGTAAAAAAGAACAACAAAAACAAACTGAAACAGATCTGGTACACCCATCAAATAGTTTCCCTCAATGTTAACATCTTACATAACTACAGTAGTCCTTCCTTTATCCACTTTCCAAAGTATCAGTTACATGAGGTCAACCATGGTCTGAAAATATTATATAGAAAATTCCATAAATAATTTATAAATTGTAATTTGTGTGCCATTTTAAGTAGTGTGATAAAATCTGTACTGCCACCATCTGTCTGACCCAGATGAGAATCATCCCTTTGTTTACTCTGTATTAGCTACTTGTCTGGCTATGAATCATTTAGTTGCTGTCTTGGATGAATTTGATTACTGTCATAGTTTGCAATGCTGTGTTCAAGTGACCCTTATGGTACTTAATAATGGCACCAAACTGCAAGAATAGTGATGCTGGCAATTCACATATGCCAAAGAGAAGCGTTATGTGTTTCATTTAGGCAGAAATGACTTAATAAGGAAAAAAAATTGTATACTGTGGTAAGAATGAGTCTCCTATTGGTAAAATTGTGAGGACGAAAAAAAAAACACATGCTAGTTTTGCTGTTGCACCTCAAAATGCAGAAGTTATAGCCAGAGTGCTGTGTGATAAGTGCTTAGTTAAGATGGAGAAGGCATTAAATTTGAGGGTGGAAGAGAAGAATAGAAACACTTTTCAATTAACCTCCATCAGGTTTGGTAGCATCTGTTGTTTTCGGCTTCCACTAGGGGTCTTGAAACATCCCCCAAGGATAAAGTGGATGGATGTACTCCGTTACCACTTCTTCATGCTAATCCTAACACAATTAGTCAGTCGTTCTTTCCACTAACCACATTTGCTGAAAATAATAACATATCCATCTACTCTCTACCAAGATGTTTACTTCCATCAAAAAGTCATAAAATATTGTTGCTTTGTAAGATAGTTTTTCTTCGGTATGAAGATACTGGTCTGGAGGGGGAAGTTGTTTACAGGTGATTTTAAGTTCTTACATCAATAATGGTCTTGGTCAGCAGCTTGTTTCTATCGAAAGCACACGTCTTAAATGACTATCTCAAGTTATTTATCGGCACCTATTTCTGAAAAGAAAAATATTTCAAATGGATAGAAAAGCTGTATTATTCAAGGCTTGAACTGAGAGGAAAATGTGTATCTGTATTCCTTTATAATAGATGGCTACAGGTCAGACTTTGAGATATTTTTTAACTAAAATGTGAAATTTTAGAGAAAATCGAGAACAAGAAGAAGAAATGCTGCTTCTCTTAGTCTTTCTAAAATGTCTGCATTCGTGTGTATGTGCGCGCATGCGTGCGCTCAACGTAACAATGGGCTTATCAGAGTATAAGTGCATTTTTGACTTAAGATATTTTCAACTTAGGATGGGTTTATTGAGATGTTACTCCATTGTAAGTCGAGGAGCAACTGTTTTGTTTACTTGAAGACTGAGAGATTCAGGTGTTTTTTTTTTTTTTTTTTTTTTTTTTTTTTTTAGAGTTTTTAGTCTGATACATTTCTATTTAGTTTATAACCAGTTACTATAATAAATTTTAAAAAGCTCTACATAACAATGGAATAGTTTCCTTTTGTATCATTTTATTCTAACCATCAAAAACCTTTTTTGTCTTTTGCGCGACCGGTAAGGGGATCGCAACCCTTGGTGTGGTGTCGCCCACACCGTGCTCAGCCAATGAGCGCACTGGCCATTCCTATATAGGATCTGAACCCGCGGTGGGGGCGTCCTCGCTACGCTCACAGCGCTGCACTCTCCCCAGTGCCACGGGGTCGGCCCAGTTTTTTTTTTATATAACAAAAACATTCATGTAGTTGATAAAGTTAATTCTTTTCTGCATCCTCCATTTTTAAAAGTCTCATGAAAATAATTTGATAACATTCAGTTTTCAGCAATTAATTTTGAATGTAGTAATTTTATGTGGTTCGGTAGCATGTTTTAGCTGAGTAGCAGTTTCTTTTTTTTTATGATAGACGTTAAATGGCTGAGGAAAAATTCATTTTATGCAATTCTAAATTTAGTGCATTAATTTTTTGCTTTCTTCTTGCAGCATTTTCAGTTAGCTTTGATTGACTGTAATCCTTGTACTCTGTCCAGTGCTGAGAGTAAGTATTTTTAAATACAATATTTGTCTGTGTGTGTATTTGTCTTTTGATCAAGAGGATAGGACAAAGCAATTTATGACTATGAATACATTTTTATGTGTATAGTATCTTGGTTTTGTCGGTTATTGAGAAAAAGAATGGGATGGCATGTGCCTGATTCAGAGACATTAATATATTGTGCAGTTCAGTCTATTTGAGTATATTAAAAAAACAAAAAACAAAAAAACTTATCAGTTTAATTATTTGGTAACTAGAAATGTCTGGTATCTCACACAGCACTGACATAGTAATTACCCACTTTACACCAAACATTATTAGTTGTTATTCCTTTCTAGTGTGTATCTTTTTAAATAGAAAAATTATGTCTGTTCATGATTTACATATTCATAGTCCTTGAATATTGTTTGAAACTCTTCTAAGTACTTGTGATGTTGGAAAAATGAGAAGCTTTCAAAGCAAAGATGAAAAAAAATGGAATGAAAAGATATTTTTATTTTATGAATAAATTACAAATGTATAGTTTAAAAAAACATATATTTATATGTTGCTTTTGTAGCTACTTAAGATAGATGATTGCAATTAATATTATTGAAAGGAATTACGTGATATGAAACTTTATGTTTTATGATTGTCCTTTGGGATGATAATGTTTATTCTGGTGTTCTAACACTAATATTTTAGGATAAAGTATTATGTTGGGACCTTTTGAGTTCGTATTTGTCACTTTCACTGCATCAGTGAAAATTGCCATATTGAATATTTTCCTTGTTGCTCCTCTTTTAAAGTATACTTAAGAGTGAGGAATGGAAATTTTTTACCTAACAAAAGGTGTTACTGTATCTTATGGGATGGTGAAGCCAGAGACATCTGACCACTGACTAAATCCAGAGTCACTGGTCAGTAAACCTGGTTTTAGGCTGCTACTTACTATTGATTTTTCCTTCCTTATTATCTTTATTAGATTGGTAGAAGTATGGGGAAAATGGGGCATAGATTTTTCATTATATTTTTTCTTTTTTTAATCTTTAATCCAGTTTCCTCCAATAATTCTAGGTAAGAACTCTATTAACTAGACTTGATGTGGTAAGCAGTACTGTGGTGGGAAAGGAGAGTGAGGAGGAAGAGCTCTCAACCTCTGTAGTCAGAGAGGTATTACTATATATAGGACTTTTAAATTTTTTATTTTTGGGGGTATTAACTTCTGATATTTTCTTTTTCTGTGAAAAAAAATTCTTATTTTACCTTCATAGCCAGAAGTTCATAGCCAATTAGTTTTACTTCTGATATTTAACTACTTACAAAACAGTGACTTTGTTCCAAAAGTTGTTTGATTTTAATTATAAAATTTGGGGTCATTTCTCTTTCCTGAAAAGGAATTTTTTGTTACCTCATGCATCATTCTCTAATGTGGGTGTAGGGAACTTACTAGAAAGCTTGAGAACAAATTGAAAAGGCAGCTTGCCCGGTCTTTCCATAGGCTCACTGAATTGGAATAATTTAGGAACTGAGCTTGGGTTAGGGTTAGGGTTAGGGTCAGGAAGAATTTTTTTCCATTTGCTGTGTACAAAAGTAAAAAATGTAAAATGTTTGTACAGGTATCAAACCTTGGACCTTGCTATTTAACAATCTGAGTTAACTGGCCACGAAAATTTTATGTTTCTGAAGGGAGGAAAGAAAAAGGGATTCATGCTTTTGTGATTGCCATGGGCCATTTCTTAAAAAAACTCTACAAAAATAAATATTCTACATATAATTTTGGAAGGTTCTTCTAGATAGAACCTAAAACAAAATAAGAAAAGACATTGATAAATAGAAACCATGAAATTTAAGTATTTAGAATTTAGATCTAATGACCTGTTGATTATTTATTTGTGTTGATCATTCCTGTTTTCATTAGATCATACGTGCTCTGGTGATAGGGAATTGGGTCTTAAGAAGAGCTGCAAAAAGAAGCCAAAATATTCTCCTTTTATTTGGTTTTTCAGATTTTTTTTGGTGTAATCTTGTCTTATAGGTAGTTGACCTCTTTTTCTTTTCCTTCTTTAAATAAAAATCATCTAGAAGGATTGAAAGAAAATTTATTCCCCTGGTGTTACTAGTATCCTGAACCTATGACTTTTTTGGAAATGTTTTATATGAGATTTAATATTAAGAAACAATATGTGCATTAAAAAGCACATGTTTTTTATATAGTAATATTATTATGTTTTTAAGATAAAAGTTTTTGAATACTGCTAATCAAGGTATATGTTTAAGGTCGTATTTACTCAATGTTTCTGATTTGAACTTTAAAATTTATTAGAACTGTGAATAAGTGGATGGAAATTTAATATAATTATGACTTATAATGAATGTTTTTGTTAGTATGCTCATGGTCTTTCATAGATTTAATTTTACATTGTTTTATTTAAAAGTTTTAAATAAAACACTCCTTAATAAAATGTATATTCTATAGCATTAGCATTTGCTTGTTTTATATACACTGTTCCTGCTTGTGTTTCACTTTAGTACCTTTTTTCGTGATCTTTTCTTATGATTCATTGCAGTTCAATTTCATATTGCCCACTTATATGAAACCCAGGTAAGTATTGTAACTTACCTTTTTTTGAAAAGATAACTTCTTAAATTGTACATTTTTGTGGGGTACAATTTGTCATTTCAATGTATGTGTATATGGTATAATGACCCAATTAGAATAGTTCATATCTGTCACCTAAATGTTATGGTTATAACATTCAAGATCCCTCCCCCATTCCCTTTCCATTCTCTGTTAACAACCAATCTACTCTTTTTCTTTTTAATTAATTTATTTATAATTCACTCATGATAATTGTATATATTTATGGAGTACAATGTGATATTTGGGTACATTTATACAGTGTTCAATGATCATACAGGTTATTTAGCATATCCATCACCTCAAGTGTTTGTCACCTGTTTGGGTTGGGGACATTCAAAATCCTCTCAATTGGCTACTTGAAGTTATACAGGAATATGTTGCTGATGGTAGTCTCCCTGTACTGTTATAGAACACTACATTTTATTCTTCCTCTCTCTCTCTACAATTTTTGTGTCCTTTGACCACCCTCTCTCCCTTGCCTCTGCCCTCTCCCCTACCTGTCTCTAGTAACTCTTATTCTATTTTCTATTTCTATAAGATCAACTTTTTTAGCTTCCACATATGAGTGAGAACATGTGGTATTTCTCTTTCTGCACCTGGCTTTTTCACTTAACATTGTCTTCTACAGGTTCATCCATGTTTTTCTGAATGTCAGAAGTTCATTGTTTTCTACGGCTGAGCAGTATTCCATTGTGTATATATACCACATTTTAAAAATGCATGGATGGACATTTAGGTTACTTCAGAATCTTAGGCTGTTGTGAATACAGCTGTGATAAACAGGAGAATGCAGGTATCCCTTTGACACGTTGATTTCCTTTCTGTTGGCTATACAGCCGGTATGGGATTGTTGGATCATACAGTAGTTCTGTCTGTACTTGCTTGAAAAAGCTCTGTATTGTTTTCTGAGATGGCTGTACTAATATACAATCTCATCAACTGTGGAGGAGGGTTCACCTTTCTCCATATCCTTGCCAGCATTTATTTTCTGCTTTTTGATAACAGCCAGTCTAACTGGGGTGAGATGATATCTCATTGTGGTTTTGATTTTTATTTCTCTGATGATTAGTGATTTTGAGCATTTTTTCATATACTTGTTGGTCATTTGTATAGTTTCTCTTAAGAAATGTCCATTCAGTTCCTTAGCCCCTTAAGATTTTTAAAGTTTATTGATTTTTAAGTTATTTTATTTTTTGCACAGAAAACATTGCTTTATTAAGGATGTTTGTCAACACATGAGGAGTACAAAGCGCTCCTTAAGGCACCTGCCCTGGCAGAGCCAGGGTCTGGAAGCCTCCATGAGTGAGCAGGACAGGATGGGACTGAGAGTTATGCACCAGCAACATACAATCATGCAGGGCCTAGTCCATTTTTAAATTAGATTATTTGTTTTCTTAACTGTTGAGTTGTTTCAGTTCCTTTTATATTCTAGATATTAATCTCAAGCATAGTTTTCAAATATTTTCTTCCGTTCTGTAGGTTGTCTCTTCACTTTGTTCATTATTTGCAGTGCAGAGGTCTTTTAGTTTGGTTTAATCCCATTTGTTTATTTTTTGCTTTTGTTGCCTATGCTTTTAGGGTCTTAAAAATAAAGTATTTGCTAGTCCTATGTGCTCAAGCATTTCCCATGTTTTCTTCTAGGAGTTTTATAGTTTCAGGTCTTACATTTACATCTTTAATCCATTTTGAGTTGACATTAGTATATGGTGAAACATAGGGATCTAGTTTTATTCTTCTGCATATGGACCAGCAGTTTTTCCAGCACCATTTATTTGAAGAGACTGCCCTTTTGCCAGTCTCTTCAAATACTTGGCTCCTTTGTTGAAAATCAGTTGGCTGAAGATACATGAATTTATTTCTGCATTTTCTATTCTGGTCCATTGATCCATGTGTCTGTTTTTGTGCTTGTACCATGCTGGTTTGATTACTTTAGCTTTGTAGTATAATTTGAAGTTAGGATGTGTTATTGTTCTTTTTGCTCAGGATTGCTTTGGCTATTCAGGCTCCTTTGTTGTTCCATATAAATTTTCAAATTGTTTTTTCCGTTTCTCTGAAGTGAGTCTTTGGTGTTACACATCTTTTCCCTGTGTAACAGATATGAAGAAAAGAATTATGTGAATACTCAAGCACTATGTATGCATTGAGGCCTGGATGGACTGCGTTTCAGTAATTTCTCCATTAGGAGGAGTAAAACTGAAAATGGCAGCTCCCTCCAAAGTTAGCCTTTCTCTTTTGTTGTAAGGACAAGGAAGTTTTACACGAAAATTCAGTTGATTTAACCATTACAAAGACACAAGGATATCATCAGAATTATGGCTAACAAATGGAAAGCTAGTAACATCATTGAAATAAGCAAAGTGACATTCCATAATGCAATTTGCAAAAGGTTAAGTCGATCCACTAACAAAAGCTGATCTTATAAACACTGTTTTTCCCTACGGCAATTTCCCAGTATCTTTACATATCAATCAGTAACTTGTCTATCCTTGAGCCAGCAGCCATGCTGTGTTACAATTCTTTATCTTACAACAGAGACTTTTAGCCTGGGAAAAGTTTCCCGTCTTTTGCAAGGTTAACATTTTATAGGTACTTTTAAGAAGTTAGGCTAAACCTGAAACTACAGGGAACTAGACTCTGTGAAATATATTTGCTTTATAAATGTAAGTATACTCCACACTTTGATATTTTGGTGGGGATTGCATTGAATATATAGATAGATTTAAATTGTGTGCTCATTTTGATGATACTGATTCTTCCAATCCTTGCACATGGAATGTTTTTCCATTTTTTAATGTTGTCTTTAATTTTTTTTTAGTCAATGTTTTATAGTTTTCCTTGTAGAAATCTTTCACCTCCTTAGTTAAATTTATTCCTAGGTATTTTGTTTTTTTGTCACTATTGAAAATGGGATTTCTTTCTTGATTTCTTTTTATGGTATGTATGCTATTTGTGTACAGAAATGCTGTGATTTTAGTATATTGGTTTTGTGTCCTGCCACTTTACTGAATTTATCAGGTCTAGGATTCTTTTGGTAGTGTCTGTAGGTTTCTCTCTATGTAAAATCATGCAATTTGCAAGTAGGACAATTTGACTTTCCCCTTCCCAAATTGGATGCCCTTTATTTCTTTTCTTGCTTAATTGCTGTGGCTAGGACTTCCAGTACTATGTTGAATAAAGGTGGCATACCCATCTTATTCTAATTCTTACAGGGAAGGCTTTCAGACTTTTCCTGTTCAGTATGATGAGAGCTGAGGATTTGTCATATATAGGCTTCATTAACATACTTTTTTCTGTACCTAATTTGTTAAGAGTTTTTACAAGGAAATCAAATTTTATTAAATGCTTTTTTGTGTGTCTATTGAGATAATCCTGTGTTGTTTTCTTTGATTCTGTTGATAAGATGTAGCACATGTATTGAATTGTGTATGTTGAACTATTCTTGCATCCCTGGTGTAAATCTCACTTGGTCATGCTGTATAATCTTTTTGATATGCTGTTGGGTTTGGTTCACTTTTTTTTTTCCCCCACTTGTTCCTATGTGTATCTGAACCCTTGACTTTGGTGTTACAACAGGTTTGTAGTCTTTTATTGGGGATTTCTGTATTTGTGTTCATCACAGGAATTAGCTTGTAGTTTTCTTTTTTGTTGAGTCCTTGCCTGGTTTTGCTGTAAGGGTGATGCTGGTCTCCTTTTATGAGGAAGTATTCTGTCTGCTTCAGTTTTTGGCAGTATTGGTATTCATTTTTTAAATGTTTGGTAGAATTTAGCACTAAAGCCATCTGGCCCTGGGCTTTTCTTTGTTGGAAGACTTTAAATTACTGATTCAATCTTGTTGCTTGTTATTCATCTGTTTAGATTTTCTGTTTCTTCTTGGTTCAGTCACAGCAAGTCATATGTGTCCAGGAATTTATCCATTTCTTCCAGGTTTTCAAATTTATTGGTATGTAGTTGTTAATAATAGTCTCTGATGAACTTTTATATTTTGGGGGTTCAGTTGTAATGTCTCCTTTTGTATTTCTATTTTATTTATTCAGGTCTTATCTTTTTTTTTTTTTTGCTTAGTCTAGCTAGTGGTTTGTTGATTTTGTTTATCTTTTCCAAGAATAAATATTTGTTTGATTAATCTTTTATATTTTTAGTCTCTATTTCATTTATATCTGTTCTGATTTTTATTATTTCTTTTCTTCTACTTTTTTTGGATTTAGTTTGTTCTTGCGTTCTCATTCCTTGAGGTGCATTGTTAGACTGTTTATTTGAAATTATTTGATATATTTGACATAGGTGTCTATTGCTATAAACTTTCCTCTTAATTATTGCCTGGACTGTATCACATAGATTTTGGTATGTTGTGTTTCTGTTTTCATTTGTCTCAAGAAATGTTTTGATTTCCTTCCTAATCTCATCTTTAACCCTTGGTCATTCAAGAGCATGTTGTTTAATTTTCATATAGTTACATAGTTTCAAAAGTTTCCCTTGTTAATGAATCTTCCATTGTGATCAGAAAAAATACTTGATATGATTTTGATTTTTTCTGAACTTGTTGAGACTTATTTTGTGGAATAACATGTTTAATCTTGGAGAATGTTCCATGTCCTGTGGAAAAGAATGTGCGTTCTGCAGCTGTTGGATGAAATGCTCTGTGTATGTCTATTAGGTCCATCTGGTCTTTGGTGCCACTTAAATTTGATGTTTTCTTGTTGACTTTTTGTCTTGGTAATCTGTCCAATGCTGAGAGGGGCTTGTTAAAAGTACTCAGCTATTATTGTGTTGGTGTCTGTCTCTCTCTCTGAGGCTGATATACCTGGGAGTTCGAGTGTTGGGTGCATGTATACTAATAATTGTTATATTCTCTTTCTGTATTGATCCATTTGTCATTATATACTAACCATTTCAGTCTCCTTTTACAGATTTTTATTTAAAGTCTGTCTTATTGGATGTAAGTATAGGTACTCCTGTTTTCT